CTGCCACTATAGCAAATCCAGTATTTGATTTCTTAATGAACACACAAGGGTAGATGACATTGTTGGCATATCCTTCTTTAATCAAAAACTCACTGAGATGATTATACCACATTCGCCCATATTGTTTCAGCCTATACAGTGATCGCCTTAATTTGATTGAGAGCATACCTCGTGGTTTGTTAGTTGCTTTAGGCAACTTAAGGCCTTCTGGGACTTTCATATATATTTCACTATCTAATTCTCCATATAGATACGCGGTGATGACATCCATAAGTCGCATGTCAAGTTTTTCTGAAATCACTTATTAAGTAACGGAACGTAATTGCGTCCATTACAGGAGAATATGTATCTTCATAATCAATTCCAGGTCTTTGTGAAAAACCTTGTGCAACGAGTCGTGCTTTATATCTTGCAATCTCGTTTTTCTCGTTTGCGTTTCCTTGTGAATACCCATTTGTAACCTACGGGGTTCACACCAGGCGGGGTTTGGACTACTGTTCCAAAAACACTTCGTCTTTCCAAGGAATTTAATTCTGCCTGGATTGCATCTTTCCACTTAGGCCAATCTTGTCTCTGTCTACATTCATCAACAGAACGGGGCTCAATATTATCACTTAATATAATTTCAATGGTTATTGCAAATGCAAACATGTCGTCGATGATTATTTCATTTCGATCCCACAATTCATTAGTACATGCATAATTTATGGATATTTCTTTGCCTTCATGTACTTCTGTCTCTTCAGGGACATGTGTCTCATCAAGGACATTTTCTTTTTCTCGAAGTACAGAATCATGAATTGTGGATTTATCATTCATTTTCTTTTCTTGAATATTTCATTTGGGTTCAAATGTGCCCTCATCTTTCTCTTTCGAGGGGCTGAATCTTTTGAACCTGGGGGTTTACCACGCTTCAAGCGTGTACTGGATGAATCATTCACTGCCACTTTATTTTGTCCAACAGGGACATCAATTCTTGCAGGTACGTTTGTAGCTGGTATATGTGACTTTGTCACTTTCGAAGCATCATTAAATGCATCTGGCATTTGATTAGCAATACCTTGAAGATAAACGATCATTTTCACTTCATTTTCACATTGAGTGCTTCGTGGATCAAAATGAGATAAGGTGGGAACAACCCATGTCAACTCTTGCCGTTCTTCTGGAACGGTCCTTTCTCCCCCTAACGACGGGAAGACTGTCTCATCAAAATGACAATCAGCAAAACGAGCTGTAAACATAACACCAGTCAAAGGTTCCAAATATCTAATGATAGATGGTGAATCAAAACCCACATAAATTCCCAGTCTGCGCTGATGTCCTATTTTAGTTCGTTGTGGCGGTGCAATAGACACATAAACAGCACAACCAAAAACTCGTAAATGTGAAATATTAGGTTGATGTCCAAACACGAGTTGTGTTGATGAGTATTGGTGGTTGGCTATGGGTCTCAGTCGAACCAATGATGTTACATGTAAGATGGCATGTCCCCATGCAAAGATTGGCAATTTTGTTTTCATGAGCAGAGTGCGGGCTATTAATTGAAGCCGCTTGATAAATGCCTCTGCTAAACCATTTTGAGTATGGACATGAGGAACAAGATGTTCAACATCAATGCCCAGTGCCATGCAGTAATCATCAAAGGTTTGAGACGTAAATTCACCAGCGTTATCAAGTCGAATGGACTTAATGGGATGATCTGGGAACTGTACTCGCAACTTAATTATCCAAGAAATAAGTCTCACAAAAGCTACATTTCGAGTAGACAATAGGCAAACATGTGACCATCGGGTAGATGCATCAACCAAAACCATAAAATATCGAAATGCTCCACAAGGTGGTTGAATAGGTCCACAAATATCCCCTTGAATTCTTTGCAAAAATGATGGGGATTCATTATCAACCTTTAGTTGTGATGGTCTAATTACTAACTTCCCTTGGGAACAAGCCTTGCAAGGGTTATCATTTGAGACATCAATGTGTCTGCTCAATAATGGATGTCCATTATAGTTGGTAATGATTCTACGCATCATGGTAGATCCTGGATGACCTAGACGGTCATGCCAAAGCATGTAAACCTTTGAATCCATGAACTTATGGTTCATGACAGCATATGTCTCAACTATCTTTATGTATGTATAATACAATCCACTCGATAAACCATGCAACTTCTCCAATATACGCTTCTGGGTATCATTGGAGGTAATGCATAAATATTCCACATTTTCTACACTTTTCGTTTCAATGTGGTATCCATTTAGACGTATGTCTTTAAAACTCAACAAATTTTGAATGGATCGAGTAACGTATAATGCATTCTATATGGACAATATTGTTCCATTTGGTAATATAATCTGGGCTTTTCCTGAGCCTTCAATTACATCTGATTGCCCTGATATTGTTGTTACCTTTACTTTTGCAAGTACCAAATTCGAGAAATACTTTCGATCTCGAAGTATTGAATGCGTGGTTGCACTGTCTGCAAGACAAAAGTCTCTGTCATTGCTCTTGTTTTGAAAATAACCATAATTTTTATCCATGTTCTCTGAGTAAAGAAAAAGCAGTTTATTCATACTGGAATACTACTTTTATTGAATTGAAAATGCGAGCATTAAACCACAAGTACAAATAACAAGAGTACAATAAACATAAATAATTCAATTGGACCCATAAGCTTCATTCCCTCTTTCATTAATAAAGTTTGTAGCATCCAGGTGGGTTGTGTTTAACTGTCTTGATAAATTGGTCATTGGATCAGATGTTTCCATTGGTTGAGCCTGGTCGAAGAAATTGATCTCGACACCCTTCTCCATGAAGGAGACTTGATATCGATCCACCAGATGCTTTGGGGTGCGACAAGTACGCGCCCAATGTCCGTTGCCACCACACCTATGGAAAACTCCTTCAGGATTTCTAGGAGTGTTCATATGAGCTTTTCCTTTCTGGCATTTGCATTTTTAAAGCTCGGGCTTGGGTTATGCCTTGGAACCTGGTTGTGAAACTGGACACCATGGTTCTTGCCTTTCCTGTTCCACCGGCCTCGCTTGTGGCCACGTCCTCGTTTGTAATTATTGCCACGAGAGGATATGGTATTCCCTTCAAGGGAAGTAGCATTCACTTTTGGGAACGGTGCTGATCCGGTCGGTCGGGACTAATGATTTTTCATCAGAAGCTCATTGTTTTGTTCAGCTACCAAAAGCACAGATATTAGCTGGTTGTATTCAGTGAAGCCTCATACTCTATACTGCTGCTGCATGAGCACGTTAGAGGCATGAAATGTGCTGAAAGTCTTTTCCAGCAAATCTTCCTTAGTAATAGTATCCCCACATAGCTTCATCTTAGATGTAATTCTAAACAACGCAGAATTGTACTCTGCCACTTACTTGAAATCTAGGATCCTTAGGTGAGTCCATTCATAGCGAGCTCTTGGAAGAATCACCATTGTCTGGTGATTGTATCTGTTTCTCAAGGTCTTCCAGAGGGTTAACGGATCTTCAACCGTTAAGTACTCGTTCTTTAGTCCCTCATCAAGATGGCGACGAATAAAAATCATGGCTTTCGCTCGATCTTGAGAGGATGAGATGTTTTCTTCCCTAATGGTATCTCCAAGATTCGTTGCTTCCAGATGGATCTTGGTATCCAGTACCCAGGTAAGCTAATTCTTCCCAGTAATGTCCAGGGCAGCAAAATCAAGCTTTGCTAAGTTTGCCATTTTCTTTTCTTAAAGAAAATGAGATGTGTAAGAACTTGCAATAATATGTGTTTAGGAAGAATATATTATTAGAACTTCTGGTTCTTACAAATTTTTTATCTTTAGGACAAAATGATAAGTACTCGAAACTTCAGGCTCAAGATTTACATGATTAATGAGAAGGGCGATTGTACCGCACCATTCTCATCGAAACAAGTATAGGATGGGCGATTATTCTGCACCACTTTAAACAGCAGGAAAATTTAAATATGTAGAGCAAGGTGGACGATTATACCGCACCACCTAAAATTGCGATAAAATTTAAATATGCAAAGTAGGGTGGACGATTATACCGCACCACCTAAAATTGCGATAAAATTTAAATATGCAAAGCAGGGTGGGTGATTATTCCGCACCACCTAAAATTGCGATAAAATTAAATAGCAGGCAAATTTAAATATGCAAGATAGGGTGAGCGATTATACCGCTCCACTTAAAATTTGTAGTAAAATTAGATCTGCAGTCCAAGATAGGCAATGATACCGCACCATCTTGGATTGCATAAATAAACACTGGGTTAGTAGTCAAGAGTTACACCAAATAAGAAATCAAAGATATAAGTAACTGTTAGGTTGAGAATTAGAAGTAAGCATGGTGCAAACAATTCTTCGTGATGGTATATCCAGCAATTGAGGCAGAGGAAGAAGAAGAACAGTAAAAACCTTAGAGGAAACATTTTTTTTATGTTTCGGTGAAGGGAAATAAGAAATGATTAGAGAGTCGTGCTGATAACGTGTTATAAATAAGCAAAAGTTAGAGAAATAACCTTTGCCAAGAGCAATGACGAAGTGGTGCAAAATATCACACTATTTAGTTTTTTTATTACCACCACAAAAGTATTGCAAGTATTAGAAAATGAGGGATACTGAGAGTATTATATTTCTTCCTTTTTTTTTCTTGATATTCTCTAACTTTGAACAATCGAAGTGCTCTATTTATAGAACCACTTCAATGGAAACTTACAAAAGGGTTACTATTTAGCATATGAGTCTTTACTATACACATGTAGGCAAACATACCCACTATTTACAACATTGTTTAATTTTTTTACATTGTCAACACCCAAACAGAATTACGAACAAACTAATACTCCAAATATGATCATCCAAGATTGCAAGAACACAATTAGAAAAGGCAAAATACCTCTTTTGACTTTTCGGCAACCCAAAATACCCGGAGATTTTCCGACCTTTTTTGTCTTCCTCACAATTTTACTTCCTTTCTCTCTCTACTAAAACATCCCAACTTTCCCACATCCAAAACCCCCCAATTTCTAATGTTTCAAATGGATTCGGTTGCCTTTGCAATTAGAGACAACCTCCCAAAAGTCCCCAAAAACTAATACCTAAACACGACAGGATGGCCTTGTTGAGTACGCCAACCCCTCTCCCTATACTCCTTGGCCTCCTGTCCATCCTCCTCTTCCACCCCATCACCACCACCTCCGGCATTCGCCTAGGCATCCTTCGCCGTCCCTCCCCTCACCTCCCTGTCTTCCGTGAAGCACCCGCCTTCCGAAACGGGGAGCAATGTGGCTCCGAAAACACGGATGCCATCCATGTTGCCATGACTCTAGATGCTAATTACATCCGCGGCACAATGGCTGCCGTGTTCTCCTTGTTGCAACACTCGACGTGCCCCGAAAACCTCTATTTTCACTTCCTCTCCGCGCGTATTGCACCGGAGTTCTTTTCCAGCATAAAGTCTACGTTCCCTTACTTGAACTTCAAGACATATGCCTTTGATTCGAACCGGGTTCGCTGGAAGATATCAAAATCTATAAGGCAAGCATTGGATCAGCCAATTAATTATGCTAGAATCTATCTTGCTGACATCCTTCCGACCGATATGAGGCGTGTTATATACTTGGACTCGGACCTCATTGTGGTGGACGACATTGCCAAGCTATGGAGCGTGGACATGGAAGACAAGGTGGTGGCTGCACCGGAATATTGCCGGGCAAATTTCTCACAGTATTTCACTGACGCATTTTGGTCTGACCCGGATTTGTCGAAGACATTCCAAGGAAGAAACCCGTGTTATTTCAACACAGGAGTGATGGTGGTGGATGTGGATAAATGGAGGAAAGGAGGGTATACACAGAAGGTTGAGGAGTGGATGGCGTTGCAAAAGCGAAAGAGGCTATACCATTTGGGGTCTTTGCCGCCCTTTCTGCTGGTTTTGGCCGGAAACATCAAGGGTGTGGATCACCGGTGGAACCAGCATGGGTTAGGAGGTGACAACTTTGAAGGAAGGTGTAGGAACCTCCACCCTGGTCCCATTAGTCTTCTGCACTGGAGCGGGAAGGGTAAGCCATGGTTGAGGTTGGACGCCCGGAAGCCATGCACCGTCGATCATCTCTGGGCACCGTACGATCTCTACCATTCGGCGAGACACTTTCTGGAAGAATAAAAGAGAAGAAAGTGAACCGCGAAGAGACAGAGAGCATGCAATGAAGGAGATAAAATGCAGACTCATGAACTATGCACATCATAACACAGCCCATGAATGGCAATTGTATTCCGAGGAGGCAGACTTCGCGACGGGATCTCGGGTTCTCCTGCGAAGAAGCTGGGGCCTGGATGGTACTCTAGGCTAAATTTTGTTGCCAAGAGTAGACCATCCAACTTGTAAATGGCCATTTGAAGGCTTCTTTGTATGGTTGGAAACCTGTATATTCTTGTATTTCAACTTTCAAGGAACAAATGTAAAGGAATGACAGTTAAAAGCAAAATCAATTAAAAAGGTCGTACCCAGTGCACAAGCTCTCGCTTTACGCAGGGTCTGGGAGAGATGAATTTCGGCTTGCCTTACCCCCATTTATGGAGAGGCAGCTCCTAAGTCTCGAATCCGAGACCTACCGTTCATGGGCGAAGGCACTTGCCATCGCACCAAGTGCGACCTCTAAAAGCAAAATCAATTAAGCGAAAAAAAACCGGTCAGTTCTCAGCCGAACGCATTGATTGACTTCTCACTTCCAACACTAAATAAAATTACACGAATGATCTATTCAGAAACTTCAATTTCCGAAAGCCATTCCATAACAAACCAGACCATAAACTTTTGCTACAGCAGCAGACGGGCATCTACCCAACGTATTCCACAAAATATAATCGCCCCAAGTAACCTGTTTAACAAATGAAAAGAAGCAATATGGATTGACAAGAGTACTCTAACTTTCACATTTAAACAACGAAATTGTTACCATTAGAAGAAACAAGAAACCGAGGAGAATTTTACTTTCATAGGTTATGAAGCCATCATTGGTCGAATACATTAACAGATATTTGTAGATTATCTGCAGCATTGCTTTGCTTACATATGATATACTTCTGCAAGTTCTATATCTGATGCGCACAATGATGTCGGCAAACATTTTCTAACAATTTTTCCGCAGCATGCACTGTCAGAGCTAAGAAAAGTATATCAAGCTTGAAGATAGAGAATTCTGATGAAAAGCCCACCTGAGTAGAGAACTCCACTGGTGCTTTAACAGTTGGATAAACGCTTACCTGCATGTAGCAGAAACAATTAAGAGAGCCAACAACAACAACAACAACAAAGCCTTTTCCCACTAAGTGGGGTCGGCTATATGAATCCTAGAACGCCATTGCGCTCGGTTTTGTGTCATGTCCTCCGTTAGATCCAAGTACTCTAAGCCTTTTCTTAGAGTCTCTTCCAAAGTTTTCCTAGGTCTTCCTCTACCCCTTCGGCCCTGAACCTCTGTCCCGTAGTCACATCTTCGAACCGGAGCGTCAGTCGGCCTTCTTTGCACATGTCCAAATCACCGGAACCGATTTTCTCTCATCTTTCCTTCAATTTCGGCTACTCCTACTTTACCTCGGATATCCTCATTCTCAATCTTATCCTTTCTCGTGTGCCCACACATCCCACGAAGCATCCTCATCTCTGCTACACCCATTTTGTGTACGTGTTGATGTTTCACCGCCCAACATTCTGTGCCATACAACATCGCTGGCCTTATTGCCGTCTTATAAAATTTTCCCTTGAGCTTCAGTGGCCTACGACGGTCACAACATGCTGGATGCACTCTTACACTTTATCCATCCAGCTCGTATTCTATGGTTGAGATCTCCATCTAATTCTCCGTTCTCTTGTAAGATAGATCCTAGGTAGCGAAAACGGTCGCTTTTTGTGATCTTCGCTAAATTGCTCCGGTCATTAGTGTGGATAAGTATATAAATGGATAGAGATAGGAAAGCAAACACAAGATGTACTTCACCCAGATTGGCTATGTCCACGGAATAGAAGAGTTCTCATTAATTGTGAAGGGTTTACACAAGTACATAGGTTCAAGCTCTCCTTTAGTGAGTACAAGTGAATGATTTAGTACAAATGACATTAGAGTACAAATGACATTAGGAAATATTGTGGGAGAATGATCTCGTAATCACGAAACTTCTAAGTATCGGAGTGTGGTATCATCTTGACTTGCCTTATCTGTCTCATAGGTAGATGTGGCAGCTTCTCTGGAAGTACTCTTCCTCCATCCAGGGGTGGTATCTTTAACTGGTGGAGATGCACAAGGTAATGTATCAATTTCACTTGAAGCTTACTTGTAGTTTCAGGCTTGGTCAAGCGCGATACAAACCATGTAGTAGGAGTCCCCCAAGTCGCCGAGCTAGGGGATTTGCTGAAAGAGGTGACAGACAAGGTAAGCAATCAGAGCTCCGGCTGATTGTTCACCTTCTCCCCATCTTGCAGCAGCATGAAGGATAAAGAGAAGAAAAATGAGAAGAGATGATATGGGATACTTTTGCTTTTGAAGAAGTAACTTTCCACAGGCTTATTCTTGAACTGAGCTGGAGGGTTTTCTGGTTTCCTCCAGAGTATAAGGCCGACTGAAGAATTTGAGGGTCAAAACAAGTCCATCAAATCTAGAGTACGTTCGACCCTGCTGATATGGGATACTTTTGCTTTTGACAAAGTAATGGATGGATTGGCACGTGTGCTGTTACGCTTGTCTCCACATGCTTCCTTGTATCCTTCGCACTTGCCCTATCTGTTCCTCAAGCAGATGCGGTATCTTCCCTGGCAACATAAGATGTTGAAGATGAGTACTCGAGAGCAATGCCAGGTAAGTAATCAGGTAAGGGGTTCCAGGCTGTCAGTTCCTGGCTGGGAGCTTGATTTCAAGTGCTGACTGATTGCTCTCTTTCTCCTTGTCTTGCAAGTAAAAACAAGGCCAAAGGAAAAGACAGGAAAAAAGCATGATATGGGATACTCTTGCTTTTAACCCTGATGATATGAGATATTCTTGCTCTAGTATAGCTTGTTTGCAGAGGTATTATCGGGGGGAAAGAAAGCTGAATATTTCGAAAGGCTTCGTTGGGAGTGCCCTCTCAGATATGAGGAAGGGTTGAGCATTTTTGCAGGTCTGCCTGTCCGTTGGGGATGGAGGTCGACATATATAGGAGTCTCCCTAACAACAAGTAGTAATGCTATTCCTTTACCCTGCTTGGTCATAGCACGGTAGTGGGAGCTGCCAGCTTCACATGTTTTAACTCTGTCAGAGCACTTTGAAAAAGTGGTATGTGGTATCTGGCTCTCGAGATTCGGAGAACGATGCTTCTTCGATTTTTGAGAAAGCAATCATGGTGGGGGTCTGGCTCTCGAGATTCGGGGAGCAGTGTCTCTTCGATTTTTGAGAAAGTAATCATGTTGGGAGTCTGGCTCTCGAGATTCGGAAGGCGGTGCCTCTTCGATTTTGGAGTAAGCAATCTTGTTGGGAGTGTTTTCTCGGATGTGAGTAAAGGTTGGGCATGTTTGCTAGTCTACCTTGCCACGAAGCACGGAGGTTGACACACAGGGACTTTCCAATTATCCAGCAGTGGTACTGTTCCTTTACCCTTGTGGGTAATAATATGGTAGCTAGACCTTCAAAATTTATGTGTCTAAACTTTGTTAGTGCTGTTTCTTTGCTATTCTTTTACCTTTCTTGGTCAGAGCGATGTAGTGGGAGCTGCAAGCTTCACGTGCTCAACTTTGGCAGAGACTTTGACAAAGTTATCTGTGGTACCCATGAGCTATTGTTGCGTGTGGGAAGTGGGTGATTGAACAGTAAGATTCATGTGCTTTCTACTTCACCAGAAGTCTTCGACAGAATGCCCATAATTTCCGCAAAGCTGAGTGTGCGTGTGACAGGTGCTGACAAGGCTAGAAAAGAAGGTGCCTCTTCGATTTCTGAGATCGGCCCTCGTGGTCTCTCTGAGCAGCCCAGCTTTTGAGAAAGCGAGCGCCTCTTCGATTGATTCGGAGAACGATGCCTCTTCGATTTTTGAGAAAGCAATCATGCTGGGGGTCTGGCTCTCGAGATTCGGGGAGCAGTGTCTCTTCGATTTTTGAGAAAGTAATCATGTTGGGAGTCTGGCTCTCGAGATTCGGAGGGCGGTGCCTCTTCGATTTTGGAGCAAGCAATCTTGTTGGGAGTGTTTTTCTCGAATGTGAGTAAAGGTTGGGCATGTTTGCTAGTCTACCTTGCCACGAAGCACAGAGGTTGACACACACAGGGACTTTCCAATTATCCAGCAATGGTACTGTTCCTTTACCCTCTCTTCGATTTTTGAGAAAGTAGTCATGTTGGGAGTCTGGCTCTCGAGATTCGGAGGACGGTGCCTCTTCGATTTTGGAGCAAGCAATCTTATTGGGAGTGTTTTCTCGAATGTGAGTAAAGGTTGGGCATGTTTGCTAGTCTACCTTGCCACGAGGCACAGAGGTTGACACACAGGGACTTTCCAATTATCCAACAGTGGTACTGTTCCTTTACCCTTGTGGGTAATAATATGGTAGCTAGACCTTCAAAATTTATGGGTCTAAACTTTGTTAGTGCTGTTTGTTTGCTATTTTTTTACCCTTCTTGGTCAGAGCGATGTAGTGGGAGCTGCAAGCTTCACGTGCTCAACTTTGGCAGAGAACTTTGGCAAAGTTATCTGTGGTACCCATGAGCTATTGCTGCGTGTGGGAAGTGGGTGATTGGACAGTAAGATTCATGTGTTTTCTACTTCCCCAGAAGTCTTCGACAGAATACCCATAATTTCCGCAAAGCTGAGTGTGCGTGTGACAGGTGCTGACAAGGCTGGAAAAGTAGGTGCCTCTTCGATTTCTGAGATCGACCCTCGTGGTCTCTGAGGAGCCCAGCTTTTGAGGAAGCGAGCGCCTCTTCGATTTCTGAGATCGGCTTTCGTGGTCTTTGAGCAGCCCAACTTTTGAGAAAGCAAACACCTCTTCGATTTATGAGATCAACCCTCGTGGTCTCTAAGCAGCCCGGCTTTTGAGAAAGCAAACGCCTCTTCGATTTCTGAGCAGGCGCCTCTTCGATGTCTGAAGCTCCGTCGAGTGCAGCTTTTTATAGGGCTGGCATTAAGTTCCAAAGCACACTTGAATCTCCACCACTAGAAGCTCCATTCTTGCACTTCTAAGATCTTGATTTGTTCGACCTCTTCTCTCTTCAATACCTTTGAAAAATGTCTGGCCCCTCCGACCGTCGTTTTGACTTGAACCTTGTTGAAGAGGCAGCCCCGCCTTCTCCAGACAACATATGGCGCCCATCCTTCGTCTCCCCTACTGGTCCTCTTACCGTTGGGGATTCCGTGATGAAGAATGATATGACCGCTGCGGTGGTGGCCAGGAACCTTCTCACTCCCAAAGATAACAGACTACTTTCCAAACGGTCTGATGAGTTAGCTGTTAAGGATTCACTGGCTCTCAGTGTTCAGTGTGCAGGTTCTGTGTCTAATATGGCCCAACGCCTATTTGCTCGAACCCGCCAAGTTGAATC